AATGTGGTGCAAAACATGAATGTAAATAAACAAACAAACCAAAACCCTACTTTCTTTTTCTTTGAAATGTAATCGGTGAGTTCCCTCCATCGGTCTGATCAATGTCAGTATAATCAACAGCTAGAGGTAGTTTACGTCTAGCTTCCTTGTAGTCATCTGGAAAAGTAGCATCACAACAAGAAGAAGAAATGTAAAAAGTAAAACAGTGAGAACAGTTAAATATTACTATTAATTCAATTTGAAGGAAATGGTGGCAAAACATAACTCACATGATGTGAAAATAATTCTGGCCTTATGGGGCTTCCAGTCATCTCCAGGGCTCTCCTGCGATTTTACTGCTTTTGTTATATCACCTTTATTTGAAGGCCACATGCACTCTCCATTTTTAATCCAGACTGATGGCACAACTTCAACCTCATTTGTCTTGTCAAAGACAACAATATGAAACATCTAAAGAGACAAGAATTATATTCTTCAGCCAAGTATTATACAAAAGCAACTTCAGAGTTATTTCTCTTGATGCAGGAGTGGAACAACAACAAAAAATCTGTTTCGGAATGGCAATCTCACATACTTCTGCAGTTTCTTTCCAGTCATGAAACACTTAACATTTGTGGAGAGGTTGGAAACCACATAAATTCCCAATTCTTTTGAATCAATAGGATATTTAAAGAAGTGTTCCACCTGTTTATATTCATTGCCCACAAGGTATACTGCACCTATGTCCTCAACAATGTTGTGGACTAAAACCAACTTATTGTCGATTTTGACACAAGAATCTCTCTCATTGAGCTTCACAACTATACCATCAATTGCAAGAACTTTAAATTGACGAGCTTGTTGTGAGAAGCACTCTGGTACTGGCCCATCTGTATGTTCTTTATCCAATTTTTGAATTGCCTCTTCAACATCACAACTGTAGTTGCTATTTTCTATCTCTGACAATCTACGCATCACCTGAGTCAAAGGATTGCAAGGCCCTCTAACCAGTTTTTTGAGTTTTCCTAAGAAATTTTCAAAGGGAAATCCTGAGATAAGATCTAGATTGCCATGGATTTTGACATCTTCACTGAGGTGCACCAGGCCATGAATATTGTAAACCAAAAACTCTTCACCGTAAAGCTGGCTAAAGTGTTTAACAAATGAAAGCAACAGAGTATTTGCAAGGTCATTCATCCCCTTACAAAATTTTGGACTTGCCAAAATGTACACAGCTACAGACAAAAGCATGAAGTTGTCATAGATCTGAGGCTGTAGAACATCGTTCAGCACAACTGGACCAG